GGCACAATGAGACCTGTGTGCTCGGCTTTTAATCTTTGCTCTGAAAATGTGCGGCATTCGGAGAATTAGAGCCGGTCACTGTACGTCCAGTTGGTCATTTGGAGAGCACAGGACGTGTGCCGGAGCAAAATCCATTTACACTGCGCTCTTTGTTAGGTTTTCAGCTAATCTCTTCGCTTAGTGCTCTATTTTTTCACAGCCAGCAAACTGCTGACTTTATTTTCCTTTTTTTTTGTGGGGGGGTGGGTTGTGAAGGTGGTGGGGATTTGGAAATAAGCAGCTTATTAATAGTTAGTTGGGTTAGTTTATTCAGCAATACAAAAGAGAGGTAAACTAGTTTTTTTTAAAATTACAAACAGGTTAAAAACGTGTAGGATTTGGGTTTGTAGTAGTATATATGCTCAGCTTTAAATAATTTCATTTTTATTACAAACAGGTTAAAAACGTGTAGGATTTGGGTTTGTAGTAGTATATATGCTCAGCTTTAAATAATCTCATTTTTATTACAAACAGGTTAAAAACGTGTAGGATTTGGGTTTGTAGTAGTATATATGCTCAGCTTTAAATAATTGAATTTTTATTACAAACAGGTTAAAAACGTGTAGGATTTGGGTTTATAGTATATATGCTCGGTTTTCAATAATTCAAAGCTTCCAAAGAATTATCTATAAGAAAAGTTAGAAGATGATTTATCATTAATATGGCTTTTGAACAACAACTAAAAAGGAACTAGTCGTATTTATATCTATACTGACATTATTCCAGAGCTGAACTCAAATCTATTTGCAGCATAATGTAGCACAGAGACAAATGCGTTCCAGTTTTTAGGTCTTCTGACTGGTTTGTATCGAAAATACACAGCTGAAAATCAATATTCCTAGAAGATTACAAATTCAAATTCATATGGCAGACTATGAAATAGCTGTGGCTTCATTTCTATTCTCCACAGCAGCAGTAGGGTTTGTGTGATTGTGTTCAGACTCCCAGGTAAAGTAAAAAAGGAAATGTTCGGCAGGTTTCCCTTTGAAACGAGGCAGTCCTGAAAGCACCAGACAAGGTATTTACACTGAGAACCAGGGGAACATGAAAAATAATGAATGATTTCTCCTTTTTTTTTGCATCTTAATTCCTTCGATTTGAATAAAACCCTTATATAATGACACCTTCTTTGCATTCCAACCAGTTTATCCCTGAATGGACTCGTGACCCCTCTTATAACCGTAATTAACATCATAAGTTTGTCATGTCAGCACCAAAAAATGCAGATTAGCCAGGAAATTCGGCACAGGATGGTTCTCATGAATTAAACAAAGCTCTCAGGAAATGCTGTGGTAGAGCTCATTGTCTCTATTGTGAGTCAGTCAACGCAGAACTGCCCATACAAAAATACATTTATGAGAAATAAATATTTTTAAGTTTGTGTGGGTCGTTTGCGCTCTTCCTTGTTCATTTAGCTGTTGATGGGACATTTACGTAATCATATCCATCTGAAATTTCAATGGATTAAAAAGTCAGCAATGTGTGAAAGAACAGGACTGCATGAATTCAATTCAATGTAGTTATGATTTAAATCAATATTTGGCATGTTATTATTATATTATATATGAGTAATGTCTGTGCTTCATCAATATTTTGATTTAAAAAATGTGTACAGGATTGTTTTTTTGGGTAATTACAATATTCTGTATGTTTCCTTGCTGAATGTTGATACTATAAGTATAAAAAAACCAGTAAGTCGTAATTAAATAATTTAAGTATGCTGTATTGTCATAGTTAGCTGCTAACATTGACTTTATTTCTAATATATGTTTAATAAATATCTCTTATTGCAGCTGTTTGTCAGCAGGTTCTGTACCTTTTCTGTCCTCCCGTGTTCAAGTTTTGAGTCCACAGGAATCTGTCACGTCTGGGGGAATGTCTGGTGTCTCGTCATGTCCTGATTACCTATTGTGTTCACCTGGGGTTCCCCTCCCTCATGTGTTTAAATAGTCCTCGTTTCCCATTTCCTGTGCCAGTTCGTTTTCGTCCTTCTTGTTGCGTCTTGCGTCTTTGGTCTCTCGTCTCCCCATGTCCTGTAAGGTTTTGATTATATCCCATAGCCATGTTTTGCCACAGCCTTGCCACAGTTTTGTTCATCTTTATTTTGTTACTTTGCCATAGCCTTGTTTGACCACTGCCATGTTAATCTCGTTTGTACTTTTGCCACAGTCTTGTTTTGATACTTTTGCCACAGTTTTGTTAAACTTGCTTTGTTACTTTGCTCATAGTTTTGCCACAGCCCTGTTTTTGAACCTGTTTTTTGTTGCAATAAACCCTGTTTTCTGCATCTCCGCGCCTGAGTCCTCCATCAAGATCCACCTCCCTGACAGAATCCTTTTTTAACATAGCGCTGTTCTCAGCTTTCTTTAAATGTCTTCATACAGTCTGAGTCAGGCCTTAACCTCATCCATTCATTCCCAGACGCTCTGAGGATGGACCATATCTTGGTAAATTCTCCAGTTTAGGGAGCCTCCTTATTCTTATCAGAAGGCCAGAATAAAAGTTAAAGATGTCCAGCAAAACTACCCCCGATAAAAAGCAGTGGAT